GCAACATGGGGTCGAGCATTGTCATGCTGCAAAATCACTTTATCGTGTCTCTCGTTGTATTGCGGCCGTTTGTCTTTCAATGCTCGGCTCAAACGCATCAATTGCGTTCGATACCGATCGCCTGTAATTGTTTCAGTCGGTTTTAACAGTTCATAATACACTACGCCGAGCTGGTCCCACCAAATACAGAGCATGACCTTGGACGTCAAAATTACCGTTCTTGAAGCATTGAAACCACTCACGACACGTTCTTTCACTAGCGGCCTCACCATAAGTATTTGAGAGCATTCGATGAGCCTCAGCCGCAGATTTCTTCATATTGAAGCAAAAAATTAAAACCTCCCGCAAATGACGAGAATTTGTCTCGTAAACTGACATTTTCAATCGAGAATAATTTTATGATGCAGACACAAATCGACTAATATTTCTATGGGGTTATGTTGACAGATGCCCAAGTTTATTGTATGACGTCTATGATCTATTTATTTCGACCACCACTTACCGTTAAAGCCATCTACAGGAAAACGGCGGAAGCAAAGTTGTACACTTAATATAATAAAGATACTGTTAGAGACTATCCATAAATTTATCTTTGATAATATTAATAATCATCTGAAGAATATTATTAGGTTTAGTAATAAAAAACGTAATAGCGATAATAACTTTGAAATTGTACGACCTTAATGGTTTACTGTTCTGTATATTCCTACTATTTTCGAAAAATTTTATAGATTAATCGATGATGATATTAAAGTATTGTTTTATAGTGTTAATAAATTACGGGACTTTATTAAGAGGTATAAAGATCCACTCCCGCATAATATGAAATCGAATATCATATATAAGATTTTTTATAAGGATTGTGATGTGAGACAGACAGTTGAAGATCTAGGATCACTGAAAACGATATTCGGTGGAATATATCTATTCGTTCGGTCATTTGTGCTATTATACCGATTACAAGAAGATCATGAATTCGATTGAGAGAATTTGTAATTTTAGATGAAGAACTCAAAATAGAAAGAGATCGGTTTCGGAAATGTTGTTCATGGAAGCATGGTCTTAATTTGCAGACAGATATGGAGAGGCTTTCTATTTTCCGATTGACAAGCTATAAATGTCGATTTATTTGCTTTTCAATTAGTGTCATTCTTTCGTTATAACATAGTCTTTCTATCTTTTGACTATTGGTTATTATTCGATTTTCTTTTCGATCATAAACGATCTAACTTTAAAGTTTTAAAATCATAATTATTTTAAAAGAAGTATTCTACATTTTAAGATAAAATTGACACTGATTGGTCGATCAGTCAAGAACTTTTAACTAAATAATTTGTGCTTAATTGTTTGCGATATGGTTGATTACTGTCGTAGTGAACAACTTTCCTTTTATTGTGATTTAAATTCTTCAAAGATGTTTTTTTTTCCATAATTTATCTCTGATAATTTTTGTCATAATTTTTAAACATTCATCTGTGTTTTATTCCAATATTAAGGTTCTTTTAGTGAGATAGAAGGAGAGATTCATTATACAAATTAATCATTACATACATATTGTATTTATAATATAGTAATTTATATTTCTGAAGAGGGCTCAAAAATGAGTCGAAATATGTAAGCGCATTAATTTAATAAAGAATTTATATTACATTTGTATATTATTTCACGCAACGAGTGTTACGCTTGATTCCTCTATTTGCTCTGTTTTCACTTAATTTCTTTTAAACATATCCCACACAATACGAGTGACTGTTTTCCGATTTACAGTCGATTTTTCTCAGTCGGCTTACAATCGATTGTAAGTCGGCTGTTCCCAGTTGATTTAAAGTCGACTTTCAACTTACAGTCGACTATTTTGAGGACATTTGTCAAGTATTAGTTGATATTAATTGATATTAGTCAACATTCAGGCTGACTTTAAAGTATTTTTTTTACTACTCCAGTCAACTTATAGTCAACTTTTAGTCAACTTCATGTTGTTTGAGATGATTACAATATTTTCGGCTAGCAGACCGCTAAAAATTTGAAGGTCGCTAGTGAACATATGTGTGTGTGTGTGT